TTTTCTGTAATCACCATTAACCCATTAAATTCCTCTCTTGTCTTTCCCTGGTTGTCCTTAGAAACTGCTGGCAATACCCTTCACCCCTGCAATCATCTAGTTTCTTGAACTTGATGTTTTAAGAGCCCACTCTTGAATTAATTCTCTCTCTTTTCATTTATCTCTTTATCTTTCATCTCCCATTTTACAAAGCATGGTTCTTTTTTTCCACTTCTTTCATGCTCCAGCTTGAAGTTTCAAAGAAGTTCATGTAATTAATAAAACCGTTCAATTACATGAATACTTGTAAAAAATATGCCTCGTCTATTTATTTTTTAAAAAAAATCAGCCTTTAACAATTCTGATTCAATTCCAAGAAATATTGACATCTGTAAGATACGTGTTACACAATAGCACAAATGTGTATATTTTTGTAAAAATATCAGCTAACCGGGAAGCATCTCACTATGATAGAATAATGTACAGAAAGGGTTTCAGGTAACTCTAGATTTTTTGGGGGAGGAAAGCTCTGAGGTTCTTCAAGATCATGCTATTTAAGTTAGGGGACAGTCACATAATGGTACCTTGATTTTCAATCAGTTCAGGGAGGATGATTAAAACAGGTGCGATTAAACTTTGGATAAGCTTACAATAACAATTAAAGACGCCTCTTTTTCAATGTAATGGGTTGGCAAAGCTTTAGCTTGATTGATCAGGTCTAATAATAAAATGATACAGCTTTTGGTTGTTCAGGGCCTCTTCTCGCTAACCTTGGTTGTTCTGGTGTAGTCATTGAAAGCAAAAGTTTAAAGGGAATTGTTGTTCTCACTCTTGCATGCATAAACAAAATGTACACATCAGGGGTGGGTTCTACTTACCTTTACTACCGGTTCGCAACGGGGCCACGCTCGTGCGCTTGCTTTGCTCGCTTGTGCGCGCGCTCTTATGCGTATGCGTAGAAGCGTTCTGATGACGATGGGCTCGGTGGGCAGAGCCTCCCTCCAGTTTTACTACTGGTTCTATAGAACTGGTCCGAACCGGGGGCAACCCACCACTGGTACATATTTAAGACAAAAACGTAAGAGAGGTTTGGGTCATGAGGGATGTTGATGGAGAAGCTCAGCAAAACAGGACAGTTCGGTTTCCCCAAATCCCTCTTCGTTGATGTGCATTTGCCTATAATTAATCGTTCTTCCCCATGCCCCCCTCCCCAAGGTATTTTCCCTTATGCAGAGACTAGCTTGAATCAGAACTAATCTAAGTAGAGCAAAGCCAGTGCTCATTTTTTATATTTCTCTCTCCTTGCAATCTCCTTACAATTCAGTCATTCACTATTCAAAAATTTTCTTGATCATTTGGGGAATCTTTTTGAGTGGGGTGCCCAGGACAGGAACAAGAGGCCTGAAAGTCCCAGCCATGCCCATTCCAACTATGCCCCCCTGCCCCCCCCCCCGAGGTCAAACACAACCCTGATGCAGCCCTCAATGAAATTGAGTTTGACACCCCTGGAATAGGATATGACAGAATATTATTTCTTTTTTGCTTTATCTTTAATTAACATCGGCATTTTTAACTGATACCTGCATTGTTAACTAAGGCTTTCAGGGGCACAAGCCCAACAACATGGAAGCATGATCAGTGTTCAGGAAGCTTTTGGTGGCTCTTCTGAATAGGAGCAGTTGCTCTACTCTGTGCCAAGGGACTCTAGTGGCTAGCAAAATCTAGCTGGAAGCATCCCCCACTGCCTGTTAATAATGAGGATAACAGCTGGCAACTGGGGATCCCTCCAAAGGCGGCAGCTGCCTAAACAAAATCTGTCAAAACATCATTACACAACGGAGGCTGCTCTACGTGTGCTGAGCCTCTAGTGGGGGGGGGAGCCTGTCCCCCTCTCAAAAAATATGGCAATAAGTATATCGCCAGCTGGAAATCCTTCCTTAATGGAAAAGCTGCCCTGGGAGGGATCTCCCCTGTGTTGGCTGCCATTTTGCTACCTTTCCAGTGCCAGATAGCTATTTTCTGCTAATAGTAAGGAGAACCTGCCATACCAACAGAAGGGAGGGAAGAAAAATGAATTTCACCCTGACTTCTGTTGTTCAGTTTTCCATGATCAAACAGAGAGGGATCCTTCGGGCTGGAGGACATGCAGGTCATATAACTCCAGTAGTTTATACTGTAATTACCAGTCCTTTTTTGTTTTCAGGAAGAACTCAAGATCATTGCTCTGTCTAGGGGTTCATAACCAGTTGAAGCCTAGTGTTTGGGAAGACTTAGAACGGGGGGGGGGGCTATGGCCCTTTTATAACTTGTGGACTTCAACTCCCAGAATTCCTGAGCCAGCATTGCCATAGTTCCCGACCTCTGACTTAGAGGGCCCTTAAGCATCCATAGCTTTAAAATGGGAGAAGTTAGGCACCCCTTTCCATTGGAAAGCTTTTATGTTCCCCACCCAAAAGCAGCGACAGAGAAACCCAAGTGGAAACGACCTCGCCTCAATTTCAGCCCATCACAGCAGCCCCAGCAAGAAGATTGGGACTAGATGAAGACTGAAAGCAGGATGAACTATATTTTTGGCATGAGGTCTGCAGTTAGTCTGATTGAGATGCATGAAAAATAGATGTGGCTATGTGGGAAATAGGAGGAGGGGGAAGGGGCTGGAGCTATGAATATTTCATCAATTAATGGCGTGTATGCCCCATATTTTTATTCCATCCCTGCCTGTGGATTACACATCCCATAAAAGATGTGAGGCTTTTTGGCAGCAAAGACTTCATCGTCCCCCTCCCCTCCTTCCTCTGCCATCCTCCTTTGGATATTTGGTTGCAGGTAAGACTGCACCGAATGTCTGTGCAGCAGCTTCCTAAAAAAGGAAACGGTGGAGCTAAAAATATACACAGTGAGCAAACCAGTAACATAATAAAGCAATAAACACTTCAGTCCGGTAGTACATTTGGGGCATAGCATCAATGCAGCCTCAGCTACAGCGCTTTAAAAAAAGATCAAATCAAAATATCTGCACAGATGTTTGAAATATAAAAGAGGTCACCCTGGGAATATGGTAGAAATGGGGCCACTATCAAAAAGGATTTCTGCTGTTCCAATTATGGCTGGGTGTGTGTGGATGTATTCCATAGAGGGCCATTGATGTTAATGAAATGCACTTGTTTATTTATCTATTTTTTTTCCAAACGTAGTATATCCAATATAGCAAACACACCCAATAATAAACCAAAATGCTTCACAAGGGCTAGAAACCAGAGGCTTAAAACCGCAGCTAAAAGCAGCAATTACGGATTTAACAATATCGAGCTGAAAATACATAAAATTGGAAAGAAGTGCAAAGCACTTGCAGATTTCTCAGGTTGGAATTGAAAGAGATGTTTTTCCCTGGTCCTTGAAGGACATTGGAGAGGGTCCTAGCCACACATAGGCTAGACAAACTTTAACACAACTGGGATGTGTTAAAAACTCGTCAGAGGAATTCTTAGCAGCACCTTTCTTCCAGTAATTCTCCAAGACAAAAAATAATTATGAAAAAGTAAAATTCTTTATTTTTGAAGAAAGCATGGTGATGCTATGGTCATCACTGCCCGATACCCCCAATTTGCTTAACGAGGGAGTTCTTAGCTACTCTATCCAGAACTTTTTCCTTCAGCTCAGTTAGAGGTATTATCTCAATAGCCAGCAACTGATATGCCTCCTGGTTCATCACCCCCGAAGTGGCTGAACTGAGTGAGAGGAAGAAGGACTTCAAACATGGTGTCTTCCTTAACGGATATGAGAGTGACAGCATCACTGGGCTGTCTGGAGATTGGAGGTAGTTGCAATCTAAGAAGAAGTGCTGAAATGTAAATATATTGTGATGTGTATTGGGCTGCAAAAATAATCTTGGGAGAAAGGAGGAAGAGCCACAGCCTAGGCCCATGATGGCGAACCTATGGCACGCCTGCCACAGGTGGCACACAGAGCCGTCTCTGCGGGCCTGCCAGCTGTTGCCCCAGATCAGCTTCACTGCGTATGCGTGCATGCCTCCCACCAGCCAGATGGTCTTCAGGTGTCTGCCACGCATGCCCCCCCTGCACCCCATTTTGGGCCTGGAAAGCCACCTGCACCAACCTAGAAGTCAAAATGGGGTGTGGGGCACATGCGCGGGGATGCGCACGCATGCGTGAGGAGCTTGGTGCATGCATGGGGGCACTCTCATTACATTTTGGGGGTTTGTGCATGTGCATTTGCACGTGTTTTGGGCACTCGGCACCAAAAAGGTTAACCATCACTAGCCTAGGCAGTAGTCAGATAAGAGAAATCTGAGTCCCAAGGAGTGATGAGAGTGAAGAAAACATCTCAGAAGCAATCCTCTCTTAGAGTTTTGGAAGGTAAAGTGGTTTCAGACACTTCAGACAGCAGGTTGCTGTTACTGTATCTTTACAATAAAAGTAGGATTAATACTCATAATTTGGTTTCCTGTCTGGACTATCTCATGTTTCCAAGGATTAAATCTCACCTTTGTGAGAAAGGATTGTTTTGTTCAACCTGGTTTGCTCAAAATGATTCTGTTAATTCTATTCATGCTTTTTGTGGTCCTCCGTGGTGAAGATAGCTCTATCAAGGTTTTTTTTTTTACTCCACTGTCAAATAATTGGAAAAGAACGCCACCAGCATAATTGTTGGGGAATGTCTTTTGATGTCTTTGATGTCTATTTCCCATCCCTATTGCCTTTATGGACAGGAATAATGAAACAACGGTTCAGCACGTCCATCATCAAGATACCCAATCCGAGATAACTCCGTTCTCATAGTACTTTGCAATTGACTGTGTCTTTTAGAGAATGTCAGTCTAAAAAACATCTGTACAAAAACATTGGTAGTGTTGCCAATCCCTAGTGTGCCATCTACCATAAAGAACTATCTTTAGAGTTGCTGACAAATAACAGTCCGTCTCTTCCGCCTGCAGTTTTTTTGGACATTTAGAATAAGTTCCTTACAAGCAGTTACTGTAATTAATCTCTCTTTGTTTACAGATCCGAAGGCGTCGTCCAACTCCTGCCACGTTGGTCTTGAGCAGCGACCAATCATCACCTGGTGAGAGCAGATGCATGACTTGATTAAATGCAAATTGGCCCCCCCTCTGATTCCCCAGAATAGCATGCTGCTTATTCAGTAGGTCCTGGAAAGAATTTGAATAGTTGCATGCGAGACAGCAAAGGCTTTGAATCAGGGATGGGGGAGATCTGTAGCCATCCGGCTATTACTGAAATATCTTCTCAGCAGCTGCAGCCAATATTGCTCAATATCTAAATCTAATACAGGTAGTCCTCAACTTACAATCATTTGTTTAGTGACCATTCAAAGTTAAAACGGCATTGAAAAAAGTAACCAATGATCATTTTTTTGCACTTATGACCATTGCAACCCCCACCCCATAGTGATGTGATCAAAATTCAGATGCTTGGCAACTGGCTATATTTATGACGGTTGCAATGCCCAATGGGCGTGTGATCCCCATTTTGCGACCTTCTGCCAAGCCAAGCCAATTGGGGGGGGAATGCCTTTAAAAGCCTCTGACGATCCCAGCTGAGTTGCCTGATCGTCAGAGGCTTTTAAAAGCATTTTTTCCTGCAACCTCTTAAGGTTGTAGAAAAAATGCTTTAAAAATTTTTTTTTAAAAAAGTTGGCCACGCCCACCCAGTCACATTACCACCACCACCACCAAGTCATACCCACAGAACCGGTAGTAACAAATTTTACATTTCACTGCTTTAGGAAACCCTGCACCACTTCTTCAGCCGAAGAGGTTGTAAAAAAAATGCTTTTAAAAGTAAAAAAAAAAAAAAAGCATCTGATGATCGCGCGACTCAGCTGGGCATGGGGAGGGGCAGAGATTTTTGCTACCAGTTCTCCGAACCACCACTTGCCATCACTACCGGATCGGGCAATCAGGTCCGAACCGGGACCATTTCAGCCCTGCAGAGTCACTTATCAACCGTGTGACTAACTTAACAACTCCAGTGATTCACTTAACAGCTGCAGCAAGAAAGATTGTAAAATGGGGGGAAACTCACTTAACAACTCTCTCTCTTAGCAACAAAAATTTTGGGCTCAATTGTGATTGTAAATTAAGCACTACCTGTAATATCTCAAAATCTAGAACTAGTAGTATCTAGATGGCCATGACCAACATCTGGATGACCACCCCTCTCGTCCATACCTGTCCTAAAAATTTGCTCATTATTGTACTATGGAGGCATCTTATCTGATCTCTGAGGAAAGGGATATATGGGAGCTTCACCTATAATACCATCCTTTCTGATTGGTTCAAGAGACTATTTCTGATATTGCTGAAACTGTCAGACTAGAGCTAAGAACTAAGAGCCAGTCAGGTATATCTATTCCAAAATATAATTTTTTACTGAAGCCTTTGCTGTCGATCAGGTTTTTCTATTACTTTTTGCAGTGCAAAAAATAGATTACAGAGTATGATTGATGCTAAATAATGGCTGTTCAGTCCTGCCTTAGTTCATGACTGCACAATTGAGGCTGGGGTGGGGTGGGGTGGGGTGGGGGGGCTTTGGCCAGCTTCCCATTCCTTTCCTGTACTGATCCTGGTTTACAGTGAATAAATTAAAATTAAAATTATCAGATTTAAGTTTGGATAAGAGGGATAAGAAGAAGGGACTGAACTAATGAATAAAACACATGTGGGTATAAGAAAACATAAGTATTATCCCGGACAAGGCTTTTGACTCCTCCCCCATACAACTTTCAAAACACTTCATAGATTGATAAATTATCTTCAGTCCAAACCTAAAAGAGACAAAACTGCAGCACCTTAGGTGGGTGAGACTCTGATTTCCATGCACTATGACCAGAGTCTAGAAATTGTGGGAATTGTAATCTAATCTATTTAATATTTGATTCATTTTCTCTATTATAACAAATTACACATACTACCTAAGAGGCTGGGTCCTGAAATTCATCTGTTCAGCAGGTGCTTTTGCAAGCAGCATAGATTTTCCTCTCTGGTTTGGCTGATGTGAAGCAACTCAAGAGAAACAGGAATTCTGTGATATCTGTGTTGGAGTTTCTCCAGGCTGTTTTAACCAGACAATGTGTGGTTGCAAGCCATGTTTTTAAATATAAATCTCCCACAACATTGTGGAGTAGTTGAGAACATCATTCTTAGGAATTGTGGAACATTTTATGTGCCAGTTATGGAGGGAAGCTCTGCTGCCCTATAGTATACAGAGAAGTGGCTCTGCAGGAAAGGATACTATGGTGATACGGGTGCAGGAGAGGGTCAGAAGAGAGGGTAAGCCCCACATTTTTGTAACCTTGGTATTTGCCCAGAATGACACCAAAAGACTTAACATTCAGAGTCTGTTAGAAAATAAACATTAAGCCAAGTATTTAGGGCAAATTGTTTTTAGAAATGTACCCCAATTTGGCAACTAATCTATTTTGCTCAGCATTCCCCACCCATGCTATTTTGGTTTAGTGTGCAAAATGGTTTGAATTTCATATATCCTGCTTTTGGTGGGATCTAGGATGAAAAGAAAGCCAGAATGCTGATGTTGGTAAATGACTTAAATGAGATTGTTGTGAAGTCAGCTTGTAGTTATATTATTACAAACTGTCAGGCTTTCCTCCCAGACATGAGGTACACATTTACTCATCTGAGGTTGCTACATTTTCACAAGTACAAAATTCATGCTCTAGGTCAGATACAGAGACAAATTTTCTCCAACCCTTCCATTTCATCTGAGACTCTTGATCGTTTCAGAACAAAGGCAGAAATTGAGTTACGGGGCTAGAAAAAGGAGAGAAGCAACCTCTGGTTTGGGATTACCAGGAACTGGGCATGGCTAGTCTAGTGAAGAGAAGGACCAGGAGAGACATGATAGCAATATTTGAGGGGTTTCCACAGAGAGAAAGGGGTCAAGCTAATTTCCAAAGTACCTGAAGGCCAGACAAGGAATAATGGATGGAAACTGAACAAGGAGAGATTCAACCTGGAAATAAGAACTTTTCTGACAGTGAGAACAATCAACCAATGGAACAGCTTGCCTTACAGAAGTTGTGGGAGCTTCATCACTGGAAGCTTTCAAGAAGAGACTGGACCGCCATCTGTCAGAAATGATCTCCTGCTTGGGTGAAGGTTGGACTAGATGACCTACAAGGTCCCTTTCAACCAGAGGTGGGTTTCAGCAGGTTCTGACCAGTTCTGGAGAACCAGTAGTGGAAATTTTGAGTAGTTCGGAGAACCGGTAGTAAAAATTCTGACTGGTCCTGCCCCCATCTATTCTCTGCCTCCCAATTCCCAGCTGATTGGGAGGAAATGGGGATTTTGCAGTAACCTTCCCCTGGAGTGGGGTGGGAATGGAGATTTTACAGTATTTTTACAGCCACGCCCACCAAGCCACACCCACAGAACCGGTAGTAAAAAATTTTGAAACCACCACTGCTTTCAACTCTATTAATCTGTATTACCAGATATCTGAATGAGCAATGGAGGATATGAACAATTGGACAGGAGAACAAAGAGTAGGGGAGAGGTCACACCAATTGTTTAGCTATCTTGATGTCTGCAGCAAACAGCATAGTTTCCCAGCCGGGGGACACAATGCCTGAGAATAGTCCGGCCAACCTGTGACATCCTGAGAAGGCAGTTGGAGTGTGAGGAAGCCACAGTGCTCCCCTGCCTCACTGATGCACTATGAGGGAACTCTGAAGATGTAGTGTCACCTCCCAATTGGACTACTGTAATGTGCTTTACATGGGACAGCCCTTGAAAAGTATTCAGAAGTTGCAGGTGGTCCACAATACAGCAGTGTAGGCAGAAGTGCACACACCTCAATGCATCCATGTAACAGCACTGCTGTTTGAGATGCACTGCCTCACAATAAACTTCTGAGTAGGTGCCGGCTGATAATGTTAAGGCCCTACATGGCATGACTCTGGTTGTTAGCAAAACTGCCTATTCGTGAAGGTTTCTGTCTGTATTACTCAAACTAGTAGGATGGGTGTGTTTCAGGTCTCTTCAATGAAGCAGTGTCATCTGGTGGGGCCTCGGAAATGTGCCTTTTTTTTGTCTCAGTACATGCCTTAAAGAACACCCTGGGGATATAGATGGTCTCCAACCCTGTTGGCCTTCAGGAAAGCTGTGAAGGTTGACTTCCCCCACCAGGCATTGGGGCCAGGATGTTGGTAGAGCAGGCACAGGGTAGTTGGTCAGTAGGTAGCTGGAAGTAAGTTTTATTGGGGTCTCGATTTGTTAAATGTTATGAAAGTTTAGTTATTAAAAAAAAACTGGTTATAAAAAGATAAGATCTACCATGAGGCTTATATATTAGGGAAAAAATATATAGGTCGGAGATGGGTGTTCTCTTATCCTTACTTTTCCTTCTTTCCCTCCAGGGCCATCTTTCGGAAACTAAGATTGGCAATGCAGCAATTGGAACTTATGTCATGCCTATTTGGATTTTTAATTGACTGGCAGGTTTCATTAATGTAGATTTGAAGGGAGTTGGGAAGAGAAATAGCAAAGAAGGGACCTAAGCGATTTGTTGAGGTTGGAATAGTAGCGAATATTATTCACATAAATACATTTTTCAGCACCCCTCCTTCCCAATTTCCAATGTTACAGTTAGAAAATCAATTGAAGGGGGAAAAAAGTATACCAGGATGCAACATTGGTTGTAGTTTTTATTTTTGCAACATCTCTTCTCCAGCTGATGAGGTTTTCTTTTTTTCTGTCTCTGGTATCAGCATAGAGGTCCTCTTGGTTTCTTATTATTTCCACCCATGGTTTGGTGTATAAAATTGAGTTGCATGAAAATCCCTCATTTGATGGTTGCTTAATGATACAGCCAAACATGATTACCCATCCTGCTCCCAATTTAAGGAAATTATTGCAAGAAAATGTTCTCAATATCTGGACACTCATTTTCCTGTCCGGTCAATCTCGAACAGATGCATCGGCCCCTTTAAAAGACTTGCAGCCACTGTAATTGCCTGCCTTTGAATGACCTGTACATCTCTCTCCATCTGTCTGAACATTTAGGAACTTTTCATAGCAGATGGGC